GGCTTCAATCAGTTGGTAATAACCTTAGAAATTATCTTGTAGCTGACATTGCACAAGGATATTGGTCTAAGGTCCTTTATAGTTTCCACATTTTTAACTTTAGGAATAAGGATTAAGTGAGCTTTGTTTAACTGTCCTAACCTAGCTGTTCAAGAAAAGCTTCTTTTATCAGTTTACAAATAGACTCCCTTATAATCGACTAATACTGTTGGTAAAAGAACACTTGGATTCCATCAGGCCTAAGTGCTTTAAAACCTTCCATCTCAAGAACAGCTTTCTTAATTTTTTTCATCATCCACTTCCCTGTTAATAGTTGCTACTTCCCAAGTCTGCAATTGAGGGAAGTTTGAAACCATATCAAAGATACAGCTAGAGGAGCTTTTAAATAACTCACTATAGTAAGAATAGGCAACATTCTTCAAAGCTTCCTTATTTGTAATCCAATTCTCATTCTTATCTTTCAAAGCTAGAATAGCATTTTTATTTCTATTGATTATGGTACTTGCATGAAAGAACTTGCTATTTCTATCTCCCCATTTGAGCCAATTGCACCTGAACTTTTGAAACCATATTAGCTCTTCCTGTTGTAAAGTCTTATTGTATTGATCTTAGAGCTCTTTTTCCACCTATCTAAGATATTATAAATCTCTTGTGTATCTGGCCTTTTCAACCCCTTCTATTCTATGAAACAGTTTTCTCTTTTGTGCTGGAATATTTCCTACTCAAGCCTCATTCCAATCAGTAGCAGACTTTTGGAAATTTACAATTTTTTCATTCCAAGAAGATGCTTCCTAAGCATTCTGCACTATAGTAGGGAATTCCTCCTTAAGGCACCAGGCTACATTACATCTAAACATTTAGGTCTTCTTTACCTTTAGATCATTAACACTTGAATTTATAAAGACAGGACGATGATCAGAACCAAACTTGCTTAAGTGGTTTACTATTGCTTGAGGAAACAGAAGCTGCCATTGAATATTACAAAATGCCTAGTCAATATGTTCTTTCATTTCGTGCTTTTCCTAAGTGAATCTCTCTCCAACCACTGTCAAATCACCCAAATTGGATTTGAGAATATAGTTCTGAAATGGCTTCATGGATGTAGAATTAAGACTTCCTCTTATTTTATCATCCCCTGTCAGATAGGCATTGAAATCACCTACTACTAGCCAAGGATCCCTCATGTTATTACTAATAGTAGTGAGATCACTCCAAAGATGTTTACACAAAAGATAATTCAGTTCACCGTAGACATTAATTAAGAAAAAAGTTGAAGTTAATCCAACATTCCTAACCTTACAGTGTAGAAGTTGGGTAGTTGATAGAATATAATTAACATTAGTTTCATAATCATTCCAAAGGACTTAGATACCTCCTACATACCCTGTGGCTTCCACCCGAATCTACATATCAAAACCCAATTTCCTGATAACTTTATCTGCCTTTTTTCTATTGACTCTAGTTTCAGTTATAACAAGAATATGAATATTTTTCCCCCTTAACGGATCCTTAATTCTCAGAATAAGAGATTTAGAGGAAGCCCCCCTACAATTCCATGAGACTATATTCATTAAAAAATATTTCAATAGAAGATAGGACCAACTTTCACACAAAAAGCTAATTTTGCATAAGTTCTTCGGGTCTTGTGGCACTAAGACCATCTTCTTTGTCTATGGACTCCATTTCATACCACTCATCTTGTCCTTCTCCTAAATCACACCTTACGATAACTTCAGAAGTATCCATGCTCATGTTGTCATCTAGTGGCTTAAGAGGAAGCTGTGTGTGTATAGGGTCAGGGGACGGGATAATGTCTTAGACTGATTGAAGAATCAAAGGTTGGGACTGGGTAAATGAGATGGTGGGTTAGGTGGCATTAAGGAGCTGAGGTTGGGTTCTTTAATAGGCTGGCTAGGGATATCTTGGTTTTGCAGGCCCAAAACAAGGGATCTTTTTGTCACATTTGAGCCTTGTATGACATTATGTAGTCTAGATAAGGCCTTTCTCTTCAAAACTGGTGATAGGATTTTTTATCTTTGGGCTTGGCTTCTTTTATGACCTCAGGTAATGGACCCATCTTTCTTTCTTGCTCCAGATTGCTTTTTACCAGACTTTTTTGCCTTACTTGTTGATGTTTCCCATGTTTTACTTTCCTTAACCCATACTTCCTTTGTAGCTTTGAAATGAAAACTTTCATTTTGAGATAGATTTGGCACTGTACCGTTACTATCTACTACCTTTCCTTTGTCAGATCCCTGGCTGCCTCCTTTTTTCTCCATTCTTGTGTAAGTTTTGTACTTTTCGCTTTTTTTCTGTCTTATCATACTCCATAGCGTCCTCATCTAGAACAGCAAATCTCAATGGTTGGCCACCAACTTATTCCATCATAGTAGTCCTTGGCCTTAAGGGTTGCTTGCTTGACTGACTACCAGTACTCTCTCTTTTCTAAAATTTCCTAAAGGAGGATCGAGATTGAATCATCCACTCCCCAAGCACTTCTTCTAGCGAGATATTTGGCTGTTCTTTAAACTTATTTTTGAATTAGTTCTGTGACTTCGTTGAGCATGAATTATGTGAACATGAATCCTCGCATTTCTTCCCTTCATTCCTAGTATTTTCCTGACTAGATGCAGCAGAGGGGTTCACAGCGTGAGGGCACTGCTCCTTATTATGGCCAAATCTTCCACACTGAAAGCAAATAACATTGAGACCTTCGTAAGCTACATTGAAAACTTACTTCTAATAACAAACTTGGAGAAGAGTCTCTTCTCTAAATCAATCTGAACACTGATGCCAGCAAAACATCCCCTTTCCACTGTTTGTTTACCTTTGTTAGCTTCCATAAGTGTGTTCAGGTCCACCTTCAAGGCTTTACCAATCAAATTTCCTAACTCTCTAAGGATCTCAACATTATAGCAGTGTATAGGAAGTAACAGAACTCTAACCCAAACAGCTAGTTTCTTCAATGTGTTAAAAAACGGGTTGAAATTAGGACTCCATCTTTGGACAGCAAGGTAGTGCCCCTGTATGACCCATGGACCCTCTGTTAAGGCTCGTTTGTAGTGTTGGTTTTGTGAGAATTTAAGAATAAAGTAGTTATTAGGCAAATCAATAATTTCAAAGTCTTTGAAGCCCCATAGAAGATCAAGCCTATCTTTCATTTGAAACTTGTTGAGATGTCTCCCCAAAAGAGTAACAATAAGAGCATCCTTCTAAGATTTGCAGAGTTCAATCCATCTCTCGTTCGGAACATCTACTCTTGGAAGGTTATCCATGAAAGTCTGTTGTTCTGGTGTCAGTACGAGGGCCGCATGTTCTTCTTCCTTTAACCATTCTTTGATCATCTTTTCAAAGCATTGTTCTTCTTCCTGAGGTTGATGCCCTAGAAGCGAGGCTTTGTAGGAGATTTGAGGGTTGTAGGTGGCCTTCTTATTCTGCTTTCCCGTCCTTAAGTTTGCTGCAACATCTCCCATAATAATGTCTTCATTCAGTTTTCTGGTGCTTCTTCCTAGAGCGTCCTCTTCTTCCTTAGTTAGCTGATTGAAACTTTTCTGCCCAGACGCATCCACTAGAATCTTCGAACTCATACTAGCTTTAGTCCTATCGCTCTCTCTCACACTAACTCTCCATCTCTCCCCCAGTATCTTATACTTTGAGATGGAGAGATTGTTAATTTTTCTTTATGAAAGCAACAAAATACTTTTCTTTTTCAATGATGACTCCCAATAATACAACCAAAAACACTACAATTATAAATAAAAAGTAGGGAGTCATCAACACACACATAAATGTGAGGCTTAGAGCTTTATCTTCACAAGTTAAACTTGATCTATGACAATAAACCATCACCTTGTATTCCAAGCAAAAAATAATAATCAGAAGTCATCACTTGTTCGAGTTCATTAAAAAACAAAGTGAATTATTGTTAAAAAAGAAAGTGTTATCATTGCTAATTGCTGAATTTCTTGGTGAGTTTCGGCCTGAGTCTGACTTTATCTTTGTACATGTAGGCCGAAGTTTGAGCTAATTTTAAAGGGAAAAAAATATTAAAATATCGACACGGTCCATTTTCCGAGTAGATTTTTTCTTAAACCTTTTCCCTTGTAAGGAAATGGAGGTTTGAACAATATTTAGAAGCTAATAGAATTAACTGAGGAATGTTAATTATTATTTATATCTTCTATAGTATATCAAAACTGAATGTATTTTAATATGTGGTTATTGGTTAACAAAAAAGTTGCCATTAACGCTTGATTATTTATGAAGTTCCATGTTGTAAAGAATAATCACAATGCACAGTTATGGTATTTTACGGATTCGACACCTCATCTTGTAGATGGCTTGAATTCTAATTCATTCTTCATACGCCATGTTTAAAGTCTTTTTTTTTTTTCAATTTTTTAATTATCTTTTAATGGGTATAAAACCTTATAATATTTAAAACCTCATGTACATGATTTTGACCCAAAAAAAAAGCCCATGTACATAAAAAAATTAATTCAAGTCTCAATTCTTTTAAAAAAATCTACACGCATTTACATTTTAAGCAAACTTAAAAACATTAAGATCACGTCTCGCCAACACGCGCTAATGTATAAACATGTCAATACAAAAGGACAAAACAGAATGTCATCCATGGAACGTAGAACTTACTAGTAGTATTTAATTAGTTAGACAGATATATTCATGAGACTAGAATTGAAGCAGGACACGTGTCCGCACAAATTAAGAGAATGAAAAGCATGGCTTAGTCTCTTGTTTCACTCGAATTTTTAGACAAGGGAGTGATGGCATTCTCTCGTGGGACCCACCTCCTAAATGAAGTTATCTTTGTTTCTGATCCAGGCCAGCAGATAAGATTATTTGTTCTGTCAATAAATAAAAAAACCGACAGTTTTTGCTCTCAGTAACCGCTCACCACGTGTCTGCCACATCACACGTGTCTCCATAATGTAGATGCCACCCTCATGCAAAGGTGGCAATCCACAATGTAACGGCTCTTCCTATAAACCGCAAGTCTCTTATCTCTTTTCTTCCATCTTTTCTTTCCTGTTTCTTGGGTTTCTCGGTTTTCAGTGATGGATTCTGGAGCCGTTCAAAGTCGTGTGCACGAGTCCGACCAACATCATCCTCACAGCCTTGGATCAGAAAAAGGTGGTAACTCGGAATCTTATTTTTCACCTTCACTTTAGTGTACTTCTCTTATGGCTCTTTCTCATTCTAATTTTTCATGTGAAGGGGAACATTATGGGGCGGACGATCACCACCATGACCATGACAAAAAGTCGGTTCTGAAGAAGGTGAAAGCGAAGGCTAAGAAAATTAAGGACACGATCAAGAAGCATGCGCATCATGACTATGATCACGATCACGAGTATCACAATATCCCCGATGATCATGATCTCGACGAGGAAGATGATGAAGATGAAGACATAGTTGAAAATCCTGAAGTTCACGGAGCCCCAAGTGAGATTTTCCCCCTCTAAATTTAAGCAAGAAATTTCAGACAATGAAGGCTTTTAGTCTGTTGCTCTGTTTTCCTTTTTGATGAAACTAAAGGCTAGTTTGTGTTTCCTCTGCAACATAGACTAGGCTTAAGTTTCAGAAATTTTCTATGAAAACAGTGGAATGTATTTGACCATGAAAGTGAAAATCCGCATTATATGTGTGGAACTTGTGGCGCAGTTTATGAGAGTACGGTGGCTAGAACAGTGATTCCTGCAGGCGAACAAGATCATCATCAAGAACCAAAGGTTGTGGTTGTTTCCCCAAATATGGGAACTGATCAAACAGTGGCAAAAGATTCAGCAACGAGAACATTTGCTGGAGAAGAAGGGAACGCTGGGCAAAGAAAGGTCAATTTGCAGAGACCTATTGACTTGGAGGAAGATCCCGCCACTTTTGGAACAACACGTCATCCTCGTGCTGCTTCCAATTATCAAAGCAAAGTCACTGATCCAACGGGGGCAGGTACAAAAAAACGAGTTAATGCATCGTACTCTTGGATGCTAATATCATTACAAACTATTTAGTCCATTTTCCGAATATTTTTCTGCTGTGTGTTGCTTGCAGGTGCTGCAGAAATACACGTAACCCCGGCTCTAAAATCTTTTGCTGAAATGAACATCAATGACAAGACAAAACCTAATCCAGAACTGCACCTTCGTCCTACTACTACTCCATGTCCTTCCGTCACTCCTACAATACATGAAGAACGACCACGCGTTCGTTCCACTGCTACTGCTCCATATCCTTCAGTCAATCTGCCAAGACCTATTGAATTGGAGGAAGATCCTGCCGCTCCTGGAACAACACGTCAGCCCCGTACTGCTTCCAATTATCAAAGCAAAGTCACTGATCCAACTGGGGCAGGTATAAAAGAGAGTTCATTCATCGTACACTTGGCCATTAATGTCAATACCAACTACTATGGTCAACTATATATTTAGTCCATTTTATGAATATTTTTCCGTCGTATTGCTATCAGGTGCTGCAGAAATACACGTAACCCCAGCTCTACACTCTTTTGCCGAAATGAACTTCCCTGACGAGACAAAAACAAATCCAGAACCACGCGTTTATTCTACTGCTACTCTTTTTCCTTCTGTTACTCCTACAATCCATGAAGATCAGAAACGCTATGAATCCATGGACAAACCATCGAACCAGAGCGGCTACAACGCTGCTCAATATCCTTCTGGCACTCCTATAATGCAGGAAGAACAGAAACACTATGAATCTGCAGTGGACAAACCATCGAACCAGAGCAGCTATACTGCAATTCAATATCCTTCTGGTACTTCTGAAATGCATGGAGATCAGAAACACAATGAATCAATGGACAAACCATCGAACCAGAGCAGCTACACCGATAAAATCTCATCTGCCACCTCTGCAATTGCTGATAAAGCCATCACTGCTAAAAATGCCATAGCTTCCAAGCTCAGCTACGATGACAACGAGGGTAGTGGAGATCATGAGAATGAAAAGAGGAGTGGAGAGAATCAGAGCAGCTACACAGATAAAATCTCATCTGCAACGTCTGTAATAGCTGATAAAGCAGTTGCTGCGAAAAATGCCGTGACTTCGAAGCTCGGCTACAATGACAACCAAGGTAACAGAGATCATGAGAACGGACCAAGGCATGGAGAAAATCAGAGCAGTTACACAGAGAAGATCTCATCAGCAACATCTGCAATAGCTGATAAAGCTGTTTCTGCCAAAAATGCTGTGACTTCGAAGCTAGGTTATGGCGGTGGCGTTGGCGAGAATGTGACAACAACTCAGGAAAATTATCCTAAAAGCGAGGCTGCTAATGCTTCTGGGATGTCGACTACATCAACAGCAGAATATGGAAAGAAAATTACAGAGTCCCTGACTGAAAAACTGGCTCCAGTTTATGGGAAGGTTGCTGGAGTAGGGAGTGCAATGAAGTCCAAACTGTCACCTTCTACGAATGAAACAGACAAGGGGCTTTGTATGAAGGACTATTTTACAGAGAAACTGAGGCCAGGGGACGAAGACAGGGCTCTTTCTGAGGTGATTTCAGAGACTTTAAAAAAGCGTGGAGGAGAGGCGACGGCGAATGAGCGTGGTGCTCAGGAGGGAAGGATAATGACTGATGTGATTTCTGATGTTATACATGAGCGAGATGAAGGGGTGGCAGAAGCAGAGCACCGATCATTGGGGAAAGTGACAGAGTCTGAGGAAGTGAAGAGAAGGTTGGGAAGTGAAAGTGACATTGACAGTAGGTATCAAGAGAGTTATGAGAATAGCTCTGGAAAAGGTGTGGTTGATAAGCTTAAAGATGCGGCAGTGTCCTGGTTTGGCAAATCACAAGAGAATCAACCCTCACAAGGTAAAAGTTATATGAAATTTTCATGATGTTGCAACTGCTACTGCATACTCTTTAAACGTAATGGCTTAGGGTTCTTTTCTGTCTTTTTGGATATGCGATGATCCTCGATATATTCAGTCCTTGCTCAACTTCCTGGCTGGTGCAGATGCAGGGAGAGCTGGCCAAGGTGAAAGAAGACTTCAGGAGTCATCTCGGTGAAGAAATGTTGGACAAATATGTGTGCTTTGAGAGAAGCTTCTTCATCCATGATGGTATTATATATATATATATATATATAGTACATATATATATATATATATAGTTTGCACATGTGTACACGTTATAGATTGACGTAATAGTTGTTTGCTGCTTTCCTATCCTTGTTAGCTTTATATGTACAAGATCACATATAATTTACAATTCTCTTTCATTTGTTTGTTTGTGGATATGTATGCGGCTTTGTATTTCAGAATGTGAATTTGTTTTCTAAATTTGTACGCGTGTCTGGGGAAATCTTGTGCATAATAGGATCCAAGTTCTCGGTGATCTTGAGATTATTTGATACTCTGGTCTATGCAATTGTCACTCCTCTAGAATTTGAAGGCTATGATGTATTAGCTTGAGATATACATTCGTCTTCTTTCCAAAAAAAAAAAAAAACATACGGAGAGGATTATTTTCCTTTTGAGAAAATGAGAGGTTAAAAGCCAAGAAAGTAACAACAGAGAAGTAAATAAAACGAAAGAGAAAACAACGAGAACTTCTTTTGTACTCTGTCTGTTGAACACGAGAAGTCACAGCATTCACTCGTATTTTCTTGAAGTTAAACCTAATTCAGTTCAAAATAAAAAAATCTCTCATTGGATGCAACCGTTTCAACTTGTCCCCAGAGGCCGTCCATCTTTGGAATATCAGTTCAGTATGCAATCTGGTTTTGTATCAACAACCATGTCAACATTTGAATTGTTTCCACTGAATTTGTACAATGCTTGACGCTCAAAAATATGACAATCCAACCTTGTGAGAGCTAAGGAAGGAGCTGTACATATTTGCTTAGATTGTGAGGAAACTTCACACCCTCTTTTGATGCAGCGCAAGATATTTGATCATGCCTAACTAAGTTATAACTTTTGATCATACTTTTTAATATGCTACTCAATGTCTTGTTCGTTAATCATGTCCATTAACAAATAATTCAGGTTTATTAACACCCTCTAGGGATTTTTTATTTTTGATGTTTTAGTTCTGGTTTCTTCTGAAATGCGTAGACTCCTAAGATATGAACTTACAATTTACATGGAGTATAATTCTTCTTCTTGCTTTTTCTTTTTGGGGACCAAACGTATATAGTTCTTGACTGTAATCTTTTTCTGACTAAAAAGGTTGCAGTTCATCCAAACATCATATGCTATTTTTTAAGAATACTTTTATTTCTTTTATCTGACTTTTAAAAAATTCAAGACAATTTCAATTGCTATTTTTTTAATCATATCTTTATTGATACAAAGCTTATGTTAACAATATTGCATAACATTTTTTTAGGGAAAATATTTTCCTAAGGTGCTTGTAACTTATCTCAATTTTGAATTAAATCCGTGTAATTTCAATCATTTTAATTAGGCCCTTATAGGACTCTTAATCATTTTCTATCTAATATGGTTTAAGGGAGAATCTCATTTAGGGCCTTTAAAACACAAAAACTTGCACTGCAGGCTCAATAGAATATGAAAACACACTGTAGGCTTGAAGGCCTTTTTTGTAAATTTTGTCGCGGACAAAAAGATACAACTGCCCTTGTTTCAAGGGCATGTCCATATATGCACAATATAATGTCTACAAATTTTTAACATAATGTTCATGAATGCACAACATATTTGGTGAACATGGTTTAACTTGAAGTGAATATACAAGCCATCAAATGGTGTATAACACAATGTTCATGAATACACAATTAAAGTCGGAAATAAGGGTTGGATCTGAAAAATCAGGCTTGGGGCCCTGTTTAAATAAGAGTTTGGGTTTTGAAAATAAAATTTTTTTAAAGTAATCGGGCTTGAGGGCTTGGTCTTAATAAACCTTGTAAAAAAAGGCTTAGGCAGTCTTTTAAACTTTGTTATATTATTATTATTAATTTTTTTATTTGGTGAAACAAGCATTTGAAGCTAAGAACCTACTTGTTTGAAACCTTTATCCTACACGCATTATATTATTATTAATTTTAATTTATTTTAAAATTAATTTAACATAATTTAATAAATATCATTGTACAGTATAAAATTTTTGATATTTTTTTGTTTTTCTATAATATTATGTTTGTGTATTTATAAAAAATAAACTATTTTTTAACCAAGATTTAAATTTTATTACTAGACTTCTAAATGTATGTTATTTAATTTTTAAATATGAAGATTTTAATTTTTTAATTTCAAAATGTTTTAATTAATTTATAATGCTTAATTTTATTTTATTTTTTTTTAAATTTAAAACAAGGCTTGCGGGCCCAATGCTAAGCCCTTCAAATAGGAGCTGGGCCTCAGGAAAGGGGTGAAAAATTGGGCTTAAGGGCTCAGGTTCTTATGGGCTAGGCTAACAAGGGTTGAGCCCGCCTATTTTTCAGCTCTAACACAATACAATGTCCACCAATTCTCAATATGGTGAACATATGTAGATTTGTAACATTTGTACAACATAAAGTCTATAATGAACAACATACTTTTATTGAAATAATATGCTTCAAGTTAATATCTACTAAATGTGTTGTGTATCATACATATTGTGTTGAGAATTTATGAACACTGTATTATGCATAAATAAATGTTTTATTGAAACAAGGACAAATGTGTCTTTTCATCCATAATAAATTTTGCGAAAAAGACCCTGAGACTTGCAGTGCAAATTTGTGTGTTTTCAGGGCGCTAAGTGAGATGCTCTCATGGTTTAAATCCCTCACAGATCCATTAACTTTGTTAGTCTAAGCTATTCTTTTCACATGTGGACTGACACCATGAACTGGAGAAGGACAACAAAACATCAAACAAATTACGGAGGAGTCTTCGTGCTCGAACTCGTTGAGGTCACTGGGTTATCCAATTAAATTGAATAAGAGAGAGAAGCTGTCGCTTTTAAATCTTGGAAATAGTACTGAGGATATTAGAGTCTTCCTTCGTTGCTGAAGATATTGGAGATGTCGCAGAATCGTTGAGTCTAGGTTGATTTGAGACATGAATTTGAAGGAAGAGAAAGAGTGTGTTCCTCATTTTTAACATGTTCGAAGATATTGAAATAGTTTTATTGGTGTTGTTTTAAATTTTGTAGCAGATACATATACATAACAAATCTGACAGCAGAGCTTTGTAATGCATGTATATATATATATATATGAAAATCTATATAAATACATAATATATATTGAATTTGATACATCTAAATAGTTGTTTACGAGCTATACATGCACACACACATATATAGCAGAGCTTTGAAGGTGAAGCTTCATAGGTGAATCTGCAATATATACATATATATATATATATATATAATGGTTATGCTCACTGTTGGTTGTAATATATTAAAAGCATATCAAATTTATATCCATAATATATTGAAGTTAGTTGCATTTGTTGTGGAGACCGGCAGAAATGCGAGTATGAAGGTACGGGTTGCTCGAGTCGTGCCCGAAAGGACACTGTCCTTAAGGACTATTCCGGCACACCGTCAGACGACTGGCAGTTCCCCAGGATTAAAGCTATGTCTGCACGCATGGATATATATAGCCGAAGGTGGACATGAAAGGCTTGGTTACACTGTCATAAAATCGTTTAAAAGCTTGTCTGAAAACGGAGAGGGTACACAAACGTAAACTGTATTTAACCTCCTGTCTGAAAATGTTGGGAAGGCAAAATACCAGACACTAGGTTACACAAACATAAACTGCATCAACCTCAAGAAATCTTCAAGAACACCAACATCTTGTTAATGGCTTCTCTACCAGACACTCAAAGCTACTATGTTTTTTTCACTCTCTTCCTCATTTCCTCCCTCGGCATTCTCAAGTTTGTCCCCTTTTCTCTCTAGCCATGTGCTACAATGTTGCCTAATGTTCCAATTTCTAGTGGCCATCATTTAAATATGAACTTGGTGACATTTCCTTGAATGGGTATGTTTCAAAATATGAGCTTGGGCCTTTTTCCTTTGAGAATGAAAGAGAAGAAAATGAAATAGGGGATTCAAAGTTTTGGAAGCAATCAGAGGGATTGAGAGATAGGTCATGTTTTGATTTCAGCAAAAAGTTCAATGTTTGATGGTTGTGGTTGTTGGAGGATTGGATCAACAGAGGAATCAAATTGTGAATGTTGTTGTAATTGTTACGATTCTTGGGGTGGAGCAATTAAATGAAGAATCGTATGATTGCTAGAGTTTGAACGTTGTTGCCATGTTGAGGGAAACATTAGACAAGCTTCATTGGTTCGTGGGTCCTTCTACTACTCATTGTGCTTCCTCATGAGCTCTTTTAGCTTGCAGTCTCAAAAGTTGACAACTATAAATAATGATAAAAATAAAAAAAAATTATATCTAAGTTCTATAGAAGAGAATTTATTATTAAAAGGTTTCATATAAATTTACATAAAATTTACAAAATACCTAAATTTTAAATTTTATATATTTATAACTTGGTTAATGGCATTTATAATCGGGTAACATACATTTAGAACTTGCATATTTTTCTTTGCAAGTTGTAAATGCCTATTACTCAATTGTAAATACCTTACTTAAGTTGTAAATGTGCATGATTTAAAATTTGAAAATATTTTATGAATTTTATAAAATTATTTGGTAATAAATTATCTTCTTTGGATCCTTGGTGTAATTTGTCCTAAAAACAAAGCATCAATGTGTACGCTAGTCTATGTACATGTGGCAAACTCTCCCCATATGCTTGTTTTCTCAATGACACATCATCCTCCACCTCACTGTAAATTAATGGCTTTTAAAGTATAAGGTCTAACGCTGGAAAAAACTATGAGGACTAAAAAAGAAACAAATCAGTGGGACCTTATTCAAAATTAGAAAAAATTGTAAGGACGGATGGATTAATTTTTTCTTTGAAAAATCTTATGAGCTAAATATTGGGTTTATTATGCAGACCTTATTGCCCTTGGTGCATATGAAACTAGGGACCTTGAACCTGAATACATGGAAAATGATTCTCATAAAACTACTTGTTGCAGTAAGCATTATTCCAGAGAACCTCATGCGAAGTACTGCTCGTTCACCATTTTTTTTTTTTTTTGATAAAACTACTTGTTCACCTTTGTCCTTTGCATTTTCCATTAGTTAAGTGCTTATCATACTGCACAGAAAGGAGATCATAAATTTTCTTTTATTTTCTTCATGTGGCTTGTAGGAACGCATGAAGTCATCAGATATCTTGAATATTATGTTCATAGGTTGCATAATGAAGACCCTGGAATTTATGCAAAGCAGGTTGAATAGTTTACTTGTTAGATTGATGCACTTTGTAAATCATGATTACCATGAGCTTTTCTCTTTCTGATTGTATCATGGTATCATAAAGGTACAATATCTAGGTGGATAGATGTGTGCTATGATTGTCTTTTACAAGAAAAACAATAATGCTGCAACTAAAGAACACATCCACGACAGGACTAACTTATAACCACCAACAGGCACTTAAAAAATTCATAGAAACGAGGATACTTATCCTTTTTTCATTTAACAAGAATATGAGGCCCATGTGCCACTTGATATTACAGAAATACAACAATAATAAGTGGTCTATCTACCACTTTAATCACAATCTACAGACTACAAGTACCCACCTAACACTTTGAAAACATACAATCCAAGGTCGTAATGAACTACAACCAACAACAGGCAAGCATTCATAGCGAGCAAAAACAACAGTGCAGTCTCCAATGCCTTCAGCTGCCACTTTGAAATTTTTGTCCTCCACTCACTTGTGCTTCGAATTTCTTTGGGGACTGCACCATCAAGCCCATCAAAAAATTTGCAGCATCATCCTTCCTGCACATAGAAAGATCCATCAACACATCAAGTAGAAACAACAGCAGCACACATCGTCATTTGAGGAGTAATTTAGGCATATCATAGAATTCAACAGATCAATTCATCATTCATCAATCAGTTCTAATACGAGCATACTAGAGAATACATCCATCTCAAATTAGTTAATTTGTAAGTAAGGGTGCTTTCCTTTACAAACATTAGGGAAAGAATTCATTGAGGCACACAAACAAATTGAAGGAAATAGATAAAATATAATTTTTTAAAATCGCAACCAGCGAATACAATTAAACTTGACTAGCTAATCAATATCACCTTGTTCACAAATTTAGTAATACTATTAAACTTGCAGCAAGGGGATGAACATGGTTTTCAATTTGATATAGTATACAATTCGAAATAGGTTTCAATCTAATAGATGTAAATTTAGTTTTGAGGAACTAATCCATCTCTTTTCTTTGTTGACATGGCAAATTTTAAATCCACAAATACGAGCTATCACAACGGGGAACACCCGCCCCAACTTCGATAAACACCAACACAAAGCAGTGAAGAACCTGTGGAAGCGGGGAAGAACCAGAAATAAAAAGCAGAAATTAGAGCGTGATTGCTTACCTATTCAACTTGTAGAACCATCCTATGAGACGATGATGGCAACAACATTTTCAGCTGCAATACTCCCCCAGCCTTCCCTCCCCTGCCGTCACCCTAACCCGATAGCCCAAAATGTGTTTATTTTATTGCTTGCTTGTGTGGACTTGCCTGTCTGCGTGGGTTATGAACCATCTTGCAAGTTATCAAATTGTTAACCACGTCATCTCAATTTAATGGTGTTAAAGCAGATTTTAACTATAAGGATAGATGTATTTAACACAACAAATTATAAGGATTTAATTTTAAAAAAATAAACAACAAGAACCCAAATTAAAATTGAGTTAAATTACAGGAACTTGCAAATGATTTTTTTTTTTCTTTTTAATTGTGTCTGCAAGTCGGAGCAGAAACTGCAACTGGTCAAAACGATGTGTTTTGGGCAGCGAGAGCTGCAGCAGTGTCTTCTTCCATTGCCCACCTTGCTGCTGTCCTGGCTAGTCCATCGTCCATGGTCTTGGTGTGAGGGTTACCTCTTCTTTGGTTCTGTGGTAAACAAGGAAATTCATGAGATAGAGATATACCTATCGCTTCGTCTTCCTCCGTCGCTTTAGGGTTTTGCAGAGTACTTGCTTGCCTTCCTTCCTCCGTACCTGCAATTTTACTTCACTGGCTGGTCATGAATAATGGATCCAAGAGCGGGTTTTCAACCGATATACATTGCCAGGTAAAAAAAAAAAAAAAAAACCGATATACATGGCAATTCATCCATGCTTTTATTTTGGGACCTCGCAAACCTCAAAATATCGACCGTGTCTCGCAATACGGTACGATATTTTGTTCCTTGATTTTTATTCTGTTGAATTTTTGGGTTCTCCCTACTATGTGTGCAGCTGGTTTCCCACTGCACGGACACTTCTCTGTTTTCTAGCACTATGGATTTGAAGCTTTCCGTGCAAAGACTATTTTTTTAATAGATGGATTTAATCTCTTAAATCACATGAAAGAAACAGGTATAGTGCCAACTGTTCTTCATTTCACCACATTAATTGATGGACTTAGCAGAGCTGGGAATCTGGATGCCTGCAATTTTTTTTTTTTTTTTTAATGAAATGATACGTAACGGGTGCTTGCGTGATGTGGTGGCGTACACGGTAATGATCACGTGATATGTCAAGGCTGTTGAGCTTGACAAAGCTCAGGAGATGTTTAATGAGATTATTTCTAAGGGACAAGTTCCAAATGTGTACACTTACAATTCCATGATTCGGGGGTTATGTATGGCTAGAAAATTTGACGAAGCATTGTCAGTGCTCAGGGAAATGGAGGCCAAAAGTTGCAGTCCAAAATTTTTTTGTGTACAGTACCTTAGTGAGTAATTTGCGGAATGCTGGAAAGCTTACTGAAGCCCATAGAGTAATAAGAAAGATGTTGAGGAAGGGGGAAAATGTCCCTCTAGTTTCCAGGCTTAGAACTCACTGTCCAAGATAGCGAAATAGAATATTCTCTGGCTGAGGTATTAGCTAACCACTAACCGCGCATCGACTTGTTGATTTCACTGAGACCATCTATTGCTGCTTGTTTTGTTGGTGAGTGGCGATCGAGATCAAGTAATATAGTATTTGATTTTCCTCCCTATCTAGTATATTATTTCAATCCTTATTTACTACTGACATGTGAAAAAGGCCAGTATGCCCATGTTTTTTCATAATATGATGACGTTGCTTGTTATTTGTGAGACGAGAGTTTCTCTTGTTTCAAGTGTGCTATAGCATGATTGTTTGTTGGGTTGTTACTTTAGTCTGTGATCCTATTGCATTAACCTTACTAAAAAACATGATAACTAAGGTGAAAAAGACGAAGTAGGCTGTCATTTTTTTAAAGCTAGTTTCCAGGATTAAGCATTGATGTTGACTTGAGCGAGTTTGAATCAAAATGTTTGTATTCTTTTATCTTGTGAAAGTGTAATGTAATGGTTTTCAAGAAGTGGATATGTAATTTATGAAGGTTCTTCCAATAATTACTTGATTTGCTGGGTATATTTATGTACTTGGACAGTGGATAGGTAATAAGTTTGAGGCAGTGGATAATGTGAAGCTGTTAGTTATAAATAGATGTGCCCTGCGTGCTTAAACTGTAGCTGCAGCAGGTTGACACTAGTTAGCTGTGACAGATTTCTTTAGAGAATAGTTGTAGCACAGCTTAGAGGTTGGCTGGACTTAGAAGTACGGTTTATTGTACAAAGCCCCTTGAGATGCTATCATGCTATGCTGGTATGATCAGGGTATTATTTGGAAAGGACAATAGGGGAAGGTTAATTGCCATGCTCACATATTTAGAATGTGAATCACCCGATGGTCTCTTGATTAGATTAGTCTGCTCATGCTATCTCTAAGGTTACCTGGTTAATATTTGTTCGGCCTGGATTTTTGAACTAAATTTGTACCAACCTTGGGGCAGCATATCACCTTGTAACTTAGTAAGAAGGTGGGAACTAAGTTAGTGTATAAGGAAGGAACTGTGACAAACTTTTTCTTCTGACGTCAAGTATAATCACTCAGCTCATGCGCTTCAACACCCCTCTTTTTTCCTTCCTCTCTAAAGTGTGATACTCTTGAGGATATTATTTCTAATAAAGCTAGTCATATGTCCCTGAAGAACCAGTCATGGTTGCTACAATTTTCAGATGTGTGTCTTTGACATTGGATGGCAAGACTATGGACTTAACAGGGTTTAGAGGTTTCTTAGATGAATAAATGGTATGCTGTTTGTGGGTTAAAGGTTCATTGTGAATATTTGAGGACAAGGGTAGTGATATATGTCATAGGGTGGGTTTCAGACTTCAGTGGTTGCTGTAAATAGTAGTGCATAATTTTGGCTTTTAGATCTGATGGGTTTTAGGGTAAATTAAAGAGCCAATGAGGCCTCTGAAATTAGATATTTTGTAGTTCAGTCCATCAAAGAATTCATATCTTGATAGATATTAAGACAACATATTTGAGATTGTGAAGTAGAAAATATGCTAGGGTCCGCTTGCATCACACAACCAAAGATAATGTGAACTTATACTCAAATCAATAATTCACATTGAACCAGTGACCAGGGAATCCTGTTTCTTAATTGGCATTCAGTTGTGTCTGATAATAATTAACATTGCTCATACTTGTTGCATTGGTGGTATTTTGGAGGTCCAGATGAGTAGATCTTGATAATGTGAAATTGTGAATTAAAGCTTGGTGGGGACGGTCACTTCAATAGTGTTTATTGCAGAAGTTTATTCTTTTGAGATTATAGCAATGAGAATAGCATATCACAATTAGTAATAACCAACGTGGTTGATTGGGCAATTCTGACCTTTTTTTTTTGGGTAATTACAGCTTAGAGTATCGTCAGACTTTGTTCAAGCTGCATTCCCTCTTCAGATGATTAAATAGGCATACTCTTTTTGCATTGGATGATGCATTTAAGATTTCATTTCCTACTTTCCAAAGAAATTCATCCCAAGATTCTGATGCATTTGAAGCTGAAAATTTGAAGCGATTGGCTAGCTCCAAGAGCCATGGATGTGGTGATTTGTTCATTGATGCTTTTTTGACACTTGCTCGAGTGCTTTTGTTTGCTTTTCGTGGCCTGAGTGATGACAACCCTAGAACGCTCCAGGTGAAGAGAGAAAGCACATCCCCTCTCCACAGCCAGCGTGAAGTTCTTATGGCACATTTTTCAGCTAGATATCTTGTGCAGAGTCCTAACATGGTTAGCATCTTCTGTCACTAGTCACAGTGCTGCAAGCTCATTTTGAACTGATGTGCTGTTGCCTATGCAACTTGCAACCATTGATTTGCTCGGCAGGTTTTGCTGTAGATGCTTTTGGCGTTGAGGATAGAGAAGTTTGAAGTGCAAGATCACATGTCCTTCCGTATGTGGCTCGTGGAATCAAAGATTCGAAGATTCCAATTCTCCAAGCAGATGTTCTTTTTTTTTCATTCATTATAGGATGCCATCTTCTAAATCTGCTTCTTGTTATTTATTTTTTATAGTGCAAGCATTAATTGTGTATTTAATTGACGTTATGTTGTTATATGCCAACCTTCATCACTTGTATGTTAGTCACAACATTTCTAGGTAGAAACTATGAATGCTGGATTTTTTTTTTTTTTAAACAATAATAAAAGAAGATACCAGGATCTTTTGTATGCGGTTATTCTTCGTGGAGCCTAATTTGGATCCCTACTACTTCGGTAAAGTAGTTAAATATTTAAATACTGGAGAACCTTTTGTGATTCCATGTCGCGCCAAATTTATTCGTGTTGGTGCTGTATTTTTTTTTTTTTTTCCTGGGATATCTATTGGTGCTGTATTTGTATAGAATGCAACTTCTGGAAGTGCTTTGCTCCACTATTTCCTTCTAAAGGGTTTGATCAAACAATTCAAGTTCTATTTTTCTTTGTCTACTACGTGTTTCCCATTTCAGGTGCTTTTATTTTTTTGGGGCCACCTGCCATTTTAGGTCTTTTGACTTGTACAAGCAGGGTAGGCCGACGGCCGTGCTGATACAAATTTCTGAAAATAATGTGATTGATCAATGCAAATTCAGGTATGACTAACGTTTTCTTGCATTAGAATTGGATTAAAATTCTAGTGAGCATGTCAGCCTATTTTTTTACCCTCCGATGCACGTGGAGTTGAAAAGCGGAAGATCACCAAATCCAAAACGAAAGATTCTATGCATGAATTGATCATTTACAACCTAACCTAAGTGACTAAAGCAAAAGGATTAATGAAATGCTTAGCTCATCAAACAATCTTGTGTGTACATGAGTCATCTCCCCACCTCAAAAGAAAGATTTGAAGACCATTTTTGTCCCCATCCATCTTTTTATTACTTGAGGGTAGGATTCCTTGGCCCCTTTTGGGCTTTGGTGTCATTCAGTTTATAGAAAATGACCACAAGCCCATAGAAAAAGGGTTTCGTGATGCCCAGAATTTCTTGACCTTCCATGCCCACCTCTTTTCACAAACATGCCAAAATGCATCGATATTATCAGTGTAACGAGACAATTAGCACATTAAATTAGTCCTTATTTCATACAGCATTATTAACTACACTAAATGCAAATTAAAGCCCACACAAAATTGTCAACCATCTGAGTTTTTGCACGGTTGATTCTGCAAAAGAAGAATACTGTGACACCAGATTTTGAAGAGAAACCCAAAGAAAAAAAAGTATAGTAGTGTTTTCACTGTATGGCTAACCATGGATTTTCTGCATACGGAAATTATCAGAAAACTTGAAAACTGAGAAAAAAGGGGAAGAATTTGAAGAAGCCGACAACATGTAATTATTGTCCTTTCATTTCTTCTCCTCCTTCTTCTCCTCTTTCTTCTCTTCCTTCTTCTCTTCCTTCTTCTCCTCTTTCTTCTCTTCTTTCTTCTCCTCCTTGGCAGGTCCAACAGATATGATATCAATCTTCCCCACTTTCTTCAGCTTCTTCACTACTGCCACTGTGTCCATTTGGCCTATGACAGTCAGCTTCTGATCCTTCACATCTGCAGCGATCGAATCCACCCCTAATCGATAAAAAATCACCAAAAAATCATCAATCAGATGGATCCCCGGTTAAATTCCAATTCAAGCCAGAAAATTGAGTTCTTATGCGAAGAAGAAGATGGAATTTGAAGCACCATAGATATCTGCAGCTGCTTCTATTGCTTTCTGCTTTGTCTTATCATCAGTCATAGTCATGACCTTCAACACCACCTTCTGCTACAGATCCGAACACACAGGGAACAAGAAGATGAAAAAGAAGGCCATAGTAAAAGAGATGTACCGTTCTGAATGATTCAGAGATGACAGAGCAAGAAATGAATGGAGATGAGTAGTACCTGAGCCATTGAAGGAGGAACAAGAGTTGATGAGAGAGCAGGAAGCAGAAGAAGAGTTGAAAAATTTGCGGGTTGAAGTGTCTCTAAAGCGTAATGTTTAAGAAGTGATGGTATTTATGAGTGCGTGGGAGTGCGAGATTACTTCGAAGAGAGGGACCCATTAAATGCCAATGCCTGTTTTGGGATGATATTGGCTGCGGGAATGTTTGACACTGCAGTAGATCGTGCTTTTATGGGCCTTCATTTCTGATGGGCTTTCGGTTATGGGTCAAGGACCATCATTAAATATGGCGCTCTGGTCTGGTCATAATGAATTGACAATTGACTGCTCTCGTAAGAAAGTCTAATTGTATATATTCTACCAAAAAGCAAAAAAAAAAAAAAAAAAAGAGAGGGTCTAACAGCGTATAGAGTTGGCATTTCATAATTTATGCTGTTTTAAATGTAGATTTTTATTTAGGCATGGTCTTTCTTTCGTTTCAAGCATATTTCCTTAAACGATGCGATGATGTCAAGGTCCAGAAATTATTTCTCTTGTTCTATAGAAAATTCGGTTTCCAAAATTTCCCAATAACTTATTATTATATCTGTCAAAAAAAAAAAAAACCCTCCCCTCATTATCCTATGGAATCCCCATGCATCCCTTATTTTTATATCCAGTTAACTTATATAGTCAACTTGATGATGCATATTAAATCAACTGCATCACTTTGTCCCAAAAGACAAAAAACAAAAAACAAATGCATCACTTCAAAATATTTGTGAAATTTATAAAGATATATTATTATTGGGATAAATCAATCCACTAGTACAAAAAATCTTGTACTCAGAAAATATGAACCAAATTTTTAAAAAGTTGGGACTGAGGCCAATTTGCCACATTAATAAACAAGAGATTTATTATTGAAAAATTTAAAGTTTACAATAATTTATTGTTAATATACAATGGCATATCATTAATAAATGTAATAAATTAATTATAATATAAAATATAATAAATATTGAATTGCTTATTTGATTTAGGTTTACAGCATGAGCTATATCAACAAAAGCTTCATTATTATTGTCATCACCAAATGCCAACAGTGTATGCATGAACCTAAAATTTCCCTGTCAAGACAAGCAAGTGTACTTTTGAAGTCTATTTTATGATCTAAGCTTGTCTTCTTCACAACCTCACAGCAGCACTGGTTTACATGCACATGGGTCATGGCTGTATATGTGTGTATAAAATATTCTATCATTCTTCCAATACTTTATTCCGGAAATATTTGTGACATTGTATTTTGTCATGCCGTCCCAGAAACCTTTGAAAAATAATATATAATATACAAATTAATTAAGTCTACTTGAACAATTAAATTTATCCTGAAATAAAATTATCTCTCACAATTAGTGTTATAAGAATCGGATCGAATTGGTTAGTTCAACTAGAAGAATTGGGAACCAATCATAATTCTAGTTTGGTTATAGCTAAAAATCACCCAACCAAAAAATTGGTAAAGAAATGATGAAAATAGGCAGAACTAGCAGGCAGGCAGTTGGTTGAATTGGTCTTGTTACTTTTTAAAATTTTAATTCATATTTTTAAACTACAATTTACACATATTTGTACCTAATAAGTATTGATAAATGAAAAAAAAGGAATAAATATGCAATAAATATGTATAGAATATGTATAAATGTATATATTTTAAAATTAAAATTATAAATAACAAAATAAGTATCTAATTTTGGATGAAAATGATGAAATATTGATGGATACAACTTTTTTATTTTATATTATTTTGATTGAAATTTAAATGTTCATTTTTTATTATATATAATTATTTCTTTTTATTTTAAGCATATATTATTGAAAACATATTAATTTATTCAAGATTGGTTAAACTATGGTTTAGATTACGATCCAACCATTAATTGTGAATTAATATTTCGGCTAGTTTAATGATCAGTCTAGTTTTCTTAATATTTCTCACAATTCTTACATCTCATCCATATGTATTTTTCCTTTTTTAAGATAAATCAATATGCATGACTTTCATTCAGTATTTTTCCTCAAAAGAAAGAATACATGGTGCTCTTCCCCCTAGTTGTTTTGAGCTATACAAATATAATTTCAATTTTTATTATGTTATATCTATTAAAAGGAGTAAGCAAATACTTATAAAATATATTATTTTACATTTTTAAATTGACAATATCTGAGATACAATGATGGGCTTTTCTAGAAGTGTAAACAAGAGAATTGAACTTGAATTAGAATAAAAAACTTGAGTAACAACCTAACATTAACTTCAATAGATAATAGTAAGCCCAGTAGATTATAACCATATACTCTCATATTCTCCCTACTCAAGAAAAGAAATACAACTCAAGAGGAAGAGTGTTGTGTGAAACAAAATGGATTAGGAAGCACGTGCATTTTATCACGAGGATATAAGAATATAGCAGTTGGAAGAGGCTTTATAAGTGTATCAGCAACTTGTTCTGTTATAGGATCATAATTGACTTGTACTAATCCAACAATAGTTCCACATCTTTTGTTTTGGCATGTAAGACAAGATTTATAGTAAGGGAGATGGCACTGGGGTTATCACACCAATACAAGTTATGGGAACATAAAGTTCATGCATAAAAGCCATAAGCCACATAACCTTAGTTACTAAGTCAGCCATGCTATGATACACAGCTTCAGTAGATGAGCGTGATATAACTTGTTGTTTACGAGAGAACTAGAGAACAAGGTTGGCATCAAGATAGATACAAATGCCATTGGTAGATGATAATCATAGCCCTAATCAACATCCACAAATCTTAGAACAACAAAATTGCTAGTAGGCTTAATGAGTAACCCATAATGAATTATGCTACTAAGACACTAAAGAACATGTTTAACACACTTTGGATAAATAATTTGTGATTGATGCATGAATTGACTAAGGTGATTACTAGTAAAAGTAAAGTCTAGACATATTGCAGAGCTCTTGAGACATTACTAAGTAGGATCACTAAGAGGATCAAAGTCAAAATTATTAAAAGGCGAGTCATTAGAAGTATTATCAGTAGGTTTAAAGTTATATGGAAGATAAGCATCAGCATTTGAGTTCTTCTATGGACGCTTAACAAGTAGCACATTTGTAGCCATAAAAGTGACCTATAGCTTAGTAAGAAGCATATGCGTTTGAGTCAATAGAGCCGTAGTTTATTTATCTTGACTAAGATGAATACTTTCAATAGAGTGAGAAAAGTCAATGCCTAAAAAGTAAAACTCTTACTAAATCCTTGAGAGAGAAAAGACAACCCATATAAGAGATGAGTCTACAAAGTTCATATGAATTACTACCTGTCAAAAGTAAATTGCCAACATAGACTACTATATAAGATATAGAATCATTAGTTTTTCAAACAAAAACACATATATCAATAATTAAAGCAACAAAGCCTAAGGAACAGAGAGCATCTTTTAGTTTATGGAACTAAGCATGAAAGGCTTGCTTCAAACCATAAAGGAAACAATGAAGACATCAAACAAGCTTGATGTTGTTGGGTCCTTTTTTGTTCAAAACTAGGAGGTTGATCCATGAAAACTTCCTCATTAAGATCACCATTTGAAAATGCATTATTAAAATCCAACTGATGAACAAGCAAAAAGTGTGTAAGCATTAGGCGAACGGGTTGTGGGCTAGCCCACACAGGTTGGCATTTTTGCTGGTTAGGTTAGGCTAGCCTACTAATTCAAATGAGTTAGAAAACCTAACCCAACCCATTTCATGGAGGGTTAACTCATTTAAATGCATCAAAATTATTTTTTTTACAATTTAAATTTTTTTACAATATAATTAACAAGCATATAAAATTTCAAATATAATCATCCTAATTTAAATTGTTCAACAATTAACATTCTTGAGTCCAAAGTCTACTCAAATCAAACAACAATTAATAGTCAAACTTTCTAGTGAACATAAACACATAATCTATGCTCTAAGCATTTATGATTCACTAATTGAAGAAATACAATCCAACCAAGGTACATAATTAGAATTTGAGGTATAGAGGATCCCTAAGTGCAACGAGAACTAGAGACTGAGTCAGGGAGGAAGCACCACTGCCACTGTGTTAGGAGAGGTGATAAGCAAAGTAGAGATGAAGACTTTGTGCCCAAGAGCAATAACAAGCTGAACAGAGACAAAGGTGTAGACTGAGGACTTAAAGAATGACAGTGAGCTGAGCACTTAAGCAGAGATGTGAAGTTAGAAGAACAGCAATGGTGACTGAATAAAGACCGAAGAGTGAGAAGAGTGAGTTGAGCGATTACTATCTTTACTGATTGAGAGAATGAGTTTAGAAGAAGGATTTGTAATCTTGTTAAGCATTGAGCTTCAATAGACTAGAGAATTAGAAAAGAGACTAAATTAAAGAGTTAAGCCTGAGTAAGGAATCAAGAGAATGAGTTCAGAAGAAGGCATGGCTATGTCTGTGACTTTCTATGAGTATCCTAACCTAGGGTTCTAATGTTCTATCAAGTTCGTCAGTTCAACCATTGAGCACTCTACTACACTCAGGCATCCGAATTCTATGTTTTGTGATTGTCCTAGACCTAGACAGACTCGAGTCTTGGTCTTAGACTCTTAGGCCATTGGATTGTCATCTTAAATTCTCAACTCTGAACGACTAGTACTAGAGTTCATGCCAATGTGTGCATGTGTACTATGTATCAATTGAAAGGAAAAAAATTGAAGCGAGCTAGCTCGTTTAGCCAGCCTAGTTTTATGGTTTGAGCCAACCCAACCCATTTTTTAAAACGAGCTTATTTTGCCAACCCAAACCGTAAAAAATGGTAGGCTAACAGGCTAACCCATTAGGTTGAGTTCATTTTCTTGGCTCTAATATGTTATAGCTATAAAGAGAAGAATACAAATAATAGCTAGTTTAACGATAGGACTAAATGTGTTTATGTAATTAGCACCTGGTTCTTGAGAATAGCCTTTAGTAACTAGGTAAGCTTTGAACTTCTTAGGTGATTTATGATTAAAAAAAAGCCATTTACAATTGATAGCTTTTTGATCTTAGGTAAAGGAACTAACTCCCATATTTAAAAGTAAAGAAAGAGCATTATACTCTTCCTTAACAATTGCAGCT